AGATCCTTGGATGTATACCAGGTTGGACATATACCAATGCGAACTTTTACCCAGCTACCCCTCTACCTGTAAGAGGCTTATATTTTACGATAAGGACTCTGTTTGTGGATCCTGGGATTCCATTTTGGAGAATAAGGACAATAGAATAAGACCCCAACAAGCCGTATTGTAGGAGGCGACTAACTGAGGGTGTTTCTTTCAAAGTCGGAGTCCATCTGCCTGAGAGGCAAGGAACCAAAGTCTGCATACCAAAAAGCCGATCTGTAAAATGGATGTGCATATAAAACTCTAAAGTTCTGAATCGGGACCAAAGTCCAGGAGTAGACAAACAGCCAGAACTTTCCAGAACCTGAATGTTGCATGTGCATCCATTTTACAAATCTGACTTATTTATATACAGACTGTTGGTCCCTGCCTCTCAGGCAGATGCACTGCCACTTTAAAGGAAGCTCTTAATTAGTCGACTCTTACACCATGCTTTTGGGTAGGCAGGGAGTCTATTCTTGTTTTCCCCATAATAAGGCCCAGGAACCCACACAGAGACTATACTTTGTGACATGCATGTTAAATTGTGGTGGGCCTCTCTCTTTTACCCCACTCTCCAAAACAGGCCCCTAAACCTACATGTGGAATAATTGTTAAAGGGCATTTGCTACATGAGAAGTTTCAGGACAGGAATAGTCGGTAAATGGTCATGTATTTTTTCTTCCTAGCTCACGAACAGCAGCTATTGGAGCAAACAAGAAGCGGCGGTGGGATGATGATGAGGAAGACAGCACAAAGGATATTGATGATCCACAGCCGGAGACTAACATCCATGAAGTAAACAATCCCAAGCAAGGTGAGAAACTGGATACTTTTGAAAAAAAAATGGGTGTGGAGGGGTAACCACTGAATTTTGGTCTTTTATGTTGGATTTACATATATGATGTTTAAGACAACAAATCCCGGCTCTCTAGCGAAGTTAGTTAAACCTGACTTTAGCGGCGGCCGGGTGACGAACTCCTTGTGGTCCGGGTTCATTCCCGGGGGTAGGCAGAAAAGCCACATTTCTCCCAGATTAAAGGTACCTATAATGGAATCAATGCCGAAGGGTTGCGATATCCATAGTACCGAGCCAAAGGGTTTACAACTCATGGCTTCTGGATACGTTAAAAAAAAATAAGACAACAAAGAGCTGTCAGCCATACTTATAAATACAAATTAGGCAAGGTCACGCACACACAAGATTTGTTGGTCTGTTTTCTTTAGCATGTGCATGCTCACAGTGAGTAGAGACTTAGATACACAATAATTAATTATACACATAAACACAAGTAGTAGATACATACTGTTAAAGTGTATACACCCTTACACTGAACGGAGCATAGGCACTCGGCCAACTCACGCAAAGTCGTCCTAACCTGCACACACACACTAAAAGTATGCAAACTAGAGTATAGAGGAACAAAGACGTGCTATATTTAGCAAAAATGCATGCACGTGCACCCTCCCCACCCACACACACACACACACACACTAGAAGTAGACACACAGTGCGCATGCGTGTACAAACACACACATGCTAGAAATAGAGAAAAAGTGTGCTAAAACTGCAAATCATAAGTACACATATACTCTTTAAGTGTACACAAACTAGAAGTGGACACACAAACTGTAGAATAAATTACATGCAGACAGCTGTAGTAGGCACGAAAACTCTAAAGTGTGCACACATTAGAAGACTAGAATTTATAAAAATAAAGAGATGATTGTTAATAGATAGAAGTGCATGGGGTTGATAAATTTTGATTGTGAGTTTTTACATGAACAAATTTATGTTCTCAGGAACAACAACGAGGAATGGTAAAGATGAAAGTACACCAGTGAAAGGGGGCACCCTGATGGATCTAGATGAAGAGCAGACTGATAAGGTAAGACTGACCTCTTCTTTTATTTATCAGGAGCTGTTTTGTCTCACCATTTTGCTATTCATTATATTGTATAGTTCGGTTGGTAAAGTAACTACCCTCTCAGGTAGCGTAGATATATTAGATATCACTAGCTTTCCAAGTCAGGGTGCATCTGCTTGAGAGGCAAGGAAACAAACATCTGCATACAAATAAGCCAGAACTTTTTTTTTTTTAAATCAAGGTTATGCACCCAAAACTAAAGTTCTGGAACAAAACCGCAGTGCGATGACTTTCTTTTATCTTCTACTGGCTCGCCTCATCGCACGCTCGCTGCCATCTCACAAAACCGACATCACACGACGAGCAGAAAATGGACGACTGGAAAACAACACGATACTGTTCCAGTACTTTAATCTTCCACTCGCGGCTTACACAGCCGGCACATGAACATAGACAACTGTCCAGGCCACACATTATAAACGCAAAAGTATCAAATATTACCTTCAAGCAGAAACCATAATCGTTCTACACTAACATCTTGAACGAAACATAAACAGCTGTCCTGACAGACAAACTCCAGACGACCTGCAGACATATTACTGGGGCCAGCTTTTTTCGCCAAGTTGGACTGGAACAAATTCACTCACAAAAACAAACCATCTGCTGAATCCACACATCATCCACCGCTGTCCATGCACACTGTTCCTGGGTCCAAACGAGACTGCCTCTGAAACCTTTCTCCGCTATTATATAGCCCTCTGATCTGTCATGTTTTTCTCGAATAATTCTGTATAGTTTCATTCTCACAAATTCCCCACCGTTGAAAGTCGTGTCTGGCCCGTGATAATTCGCATTTCACACGAATCCTGCCAGTCAACCTTCATGGTTTACGTGAACAATCATGTTTCACATAAAACCTGACTTTCAGATGTCTCTCATGAAACTCAAGACATAAATCTCGTGTTATCTCAGTCAGTCAAAACATTCGCCTTACATTTATTACTGACGTCATCTATCGGGCATAAATTAATGGGGAGAAAATGACTCACTACATTCTCCCCCACCCCAAAAAAAATGTTTTACATTTTCAATCAATCAGGTGTGAACATTTCACTGAACATGGTGATTCTAGACCTTTGTAGTGAATCATTTTCGACAAGTTCATTTCCAACCAAGTTCCATTTACCTCATTAGGTTAACAATTCAAACAATCTAAAATGCCATCTGTTGGGTCTTTCCACGACTGTGAATACCTTAATGGGATCCTCACTCCAGGCACTCCCCTTTTAGTGCGGAAGACCAATAATCTGGCTCCATAGGTATCCCCACCCAGTTCTAAAGTCGGTATACAACCGAACCCCTCTCCAGGCACCCCCCGATCGGTGCGGAAGTCCAAAATCTTGGCTCTAAAACCGAAGTGTGACCCCATGAAGTCCCACCCTCGCTATTCCCATTCATGAAAGCCCTCAACAATGGCTAAATCAGCAATGTATGGTTTTGTTCCCAAATATGTAAGGTACAAGATGTAGTTAATTACCCTGTCTTCAGAAACTACAACATGTCTCATTAACACACATATTCAAATTAAATGCTACACCAATTCAATTTAGTATACTAGTAAATGCAACATATTTTCCGGTGAGGTGTATTTTAACTCTGAATGTTGTCTCCCTTTAATTTTAATTGTTTACTATATTATACCCGTTCAAATCAAAACATATACATTTTTCCAAGTTGTAAATTCATATAATACATTCATACAATCATACCCTTGCATAAAATGATTTCAGTTAATACAAGTTGTAATAGTAGTTGTAACATATTCTACAAACGTGACATGATATCTGGTAAATGATTGTCTGTTCCTTTGATGTGTTCAATGTTAAATTTGAATTGTGATATCAACAATGCCCATCTATATACCCTTGGATTGCTATTGGCATCAATTGTTAATAATTTTGTTTTTATTAATCATCTAATAGAAATTTGTAGCACTAAAGTAGATGCAGTGGATTATCAAAGTGTTGATGTAGTGGACTATCAAAGTATTTACCAAATAAATAACTAATTAATATGTAAATATCTAACAATGAATAAATGTTATAATATTCCTGTGTAGTACAGTAGTTGGTTATAAAGTTACAGATTATACCTTGTGAGATAACACCCAAAAAAAAAATTGTCTTTAATGGCCGCACAGTCTGGGTATAATTAAATACTCTTCTAATGAAATAAATATTATTAAAAAATATTTGATTTAATTATTCTTGATAATCGACTGTGATCGAGTAATCACTAATACTCTCAAATACTTAAATTATTTCACTTAATAACTACTAAATACACTTGTTCAGTATGATGCTTATTAAATTCGCTTTCAATGAAGCAAAACTCAGTTACAATATATTTGCAGAAACTTGTAAAAATAATTCTTATCCACCAATAAATTTAGTCTGTTTTGGAAATCAACAATAATACTATTCAATACAGATTAAATAAAGATATAGTGTTGAATCAATGAGTGTAAATAAATTTAGTCAATATTAGCAATCAACAACAATATTATTGACCACAAGGTGAAAAAAGGATATGGTGTTCAATCAATGAATGTGTCACCAACTAATATTACAATGATCTTTCCCCAATTAACTGTTAAATCATCAATGATTAACTTATTATTCTTGGTAATTTCCTAATTATGTATGATTAATTATGGCACTTCCTGATGATGGTGGTACTGAACTTTCTTGTAATTTAAATCCTACAATTTTTAAAAATGAAAAAAAATATATATAGAATTTCAATACAATTTGCCAATATTTATAAATTAAAAGAAATAATGTAAAGAATAGTAGAATAATGCAAAATAATATCAAAACACCAATGTAATAATATAAATAAAATAAATGTCAATGAATGCACCAATGTAAATTATAAATAAATAAAATTGATAATTATAATAAATAACTGAATCACCAGAAAAATAAATCAAAAATAAAATTAATAATCAATGTATATTGTTGTGCTGATCTAGTTGACTGTCCTGAAGTTGACCTGAAGCTGGTTCTGCGATGGCTGTTGCTTTCTTGAAGGTTGTTTCGCTGAATATGTTACTGCTACTTTTAAAATACTGAAGAACTGATAATTTGATCGGGTTAATTAAAATTAAAACACCATAGTAATGATTTCATCAACTGGGCACTGAAATTAATTATGACCGCACAGTTTATCTGTTCACACTATTAATTTAAGCATTGAATGCACACTGATTAAGGAATTGTTCAGTGAAGCATTTATTACAGAAACTGCATACTGTCTGTGGTACTGTTCACTGTACTATCGGTTTCATAAACTGGATATTGATCACTGAATAGTTCACTGGTAGCTACACACTTCAATAGTACATTGTTAACTGCAGATACTTAAATAGTTCACTGCTAGATACACACTTAAATAGTACATTGTTAACTGCAGATACTTAGATTTGCACCGACCAATTTGATGCTTTTCCTGTCGACTGAATGTGTTTAGACGTAGGAAAGCTTTATTATTATTGCTTTCTGTGTTTTAGACGATTATTATACGACGAACTTGAAACATTATTGATCACGAGACATCAATGAGTGCTGATCTTGAGGTATTATAGGCTTCTCATACTGTAGTTTCCTATTAAATGGTTTGCCACGGCTGAAAATGTAGACCTGCGACACAAACACCCAGTGTCAGAGCTGTGGTTCTTTTGATTTCCGTACAGTTAACACTCTACCCGGTGTTTCACTGTCTTTCTATGTTTTGAAAAACAGATCCGAAAAACAGGATCTGGTGTCGACGCTTCTCTGTGTTGTTCAGTGTAGATTTCCCACTACACTTTACCACACTTTAGTCGGCAGCAAAATTTGATCAAACAACAAGGCTTCTGAAGTTTTACAGAGGGGCAGCCCTAGTCTCACATCATTTCTGTGTAGACTTACTGTTGTATTCCTTTGCTACCATTAATGATTGCTCTTTGACACTGTCACTGTCTGCAATCTTTCCTTTGCATCTTTGTTGATTGTTGATTACTTGGTCGAAACTTAAAACATGGACTTGTCTATCAGTATTCAGAGCCTGGAATTTGTTCGAACATTGTTCAATCTGTGAACTATCGAATATGGGTTGTTGTTATGTCGCCATCGATCTTCCCCGCTTACGTTCTTATGTTGAACTGGTACTACCTGACGTCAGGTTGATAACTAAACTCATTTCCAATGTCTCAGATTTTACTGTACGAAACAACTTTCCTATCCTCAAATGTTTGGACGAGCCCCCATTCTGCGATGACTTTCTTTTATCTTCTACTGGCTCGCCTCATCGCACGCTCTCTGCCATCTCACAAAACCGACATCACACGACGAGCAGAAAATGGACGACTGGAAAACAACACGATACTGTTCCAGTACTTTAATCTTCCACTCGCGGCTTACACAGCCGGCACATGAACTAGACAACTGTCCAGGCACACATTATAACGCAAGTATCAAATATTACCTTCAAGCAGAAACCATAATCGTTCTACACTAACATCTTGAACGAAACACAACAGCTGTCCTGACAGACAAACTCAGACGACCTGCAGACATATTACTGGCCAGCTTTTTTTGCCAAGTTGGACTGGAACAAATTCACTCACAAAAACATCTGCTGAATCCACACATCATCCACCGCTGTCCATGCACACTGTTCCTGGGTCCAAACGAGACTGCCTCTGAAACCTTTCTCCGCTATTATATAGCCCTCTGATCTGTCATGTTTTTCTCGAATAATTCTGTATAGTTTCATTCTCACGAATTCCCCACCGTTGAAAGTCGTGTCTGGCCCGTGATAATTCGCATTTCACACGAATCCTGCCAGTCAACCTTCATGGTTTACGTGAACAATCATGTTTCACATAAAACCTAACTTTCAGATGTCTCTCATGAAACTCAAGACATAAATCTCGTGTTATCTCAGTCAGTCAAAACATTCGCCTTACATTTATTACTGACGTCATCTATCGGGCATAAATTAATGGGGAGAAAATGACTCACTACACGCAGTTTAGTAATGGACGAACTACCCCAACTTCCTACCGGACTAATGTTCATCTAATGAACATAAAGAAGAAAAAGAAAAATGTCATTACTAGTTTTAGTTAATTTTGTTTCCTCTTTTTTTTCCCTGAAATAACATGTCCCTCTGTGTTTCTGGGGGCCCCAAGAATAGACCCACTGCCTGCACAGCAAGCATGTCACCAGATTCAACTAATTGAGGGCTTCCTTCGAAGTCGAAGTGCAACTACCTGAGAGGCAAGGAACCAACACTCTGCATATAATTAAGTCAGATCTGTTGAACAGATGTGTACGCAACACTCAGGTTCTGGAACAAGACTCAAGTCCAGAGGTGGACCAACAACAAGAACTTTCCGTCGAAGTTTACCGCTGGTTAACATAAGGAAAAGAAGATAGAAGAAAACAGCATGAAATATCTTTGCCTCAGACACTGTGGGTTGTGTGATGAATTGCCGTAATGGCACTTTTTTTTTTTCCCTCTCTCACCACACATAGCATGTGCTGACAACTTTTTAATAGTGTGGAAAAAAAAATGTTGCAAAGTTACTCACTTTGTCAACCAATTACACGTTTATACAACTATTTATCATCATCTTTTAGCAGGTCCTTTGCAGAACACTGCTCTCATCTCAGTCGCTCACCTGATCTCCTGTCTTGTGCTGGTCAGTCCCTGCCCCTCTTTCCTTCCTATCCATCTTTTTTGCCTGATGTGATGTCGATTCTTAATTCAGTAATTCACTTTGCCAGATAGTTTCTTTCTGGGTGGGGGTATTTTCATCATTCATTGAAAACAAAACCACATCTCTGTGTCTTCCATATAATTTCTTTTTTTGACCCGCTGATTGTCCATGATGTCCCTTGTTACTTCAGACGGAGCAGGAAAAGACGGAGACGACTGCAGCAGCTACTACAGTGGAAGATGGAGAGAAGAAGGAGCCTGTAGAAGCTGGGGATGATACACTAACTGAACAGACCCATCACATTATTGTGCCCAGCTACTCCGCCTGGTTCGACTACAACTCCATCCATGCCATAGAGAGGCGAGCATTGCCAGAGTTTTTCAACGGGAACAATAAATCCAAGACCCCAGAAATGTAAGTCAATTTTGTGGTCACTTTATGTGCTCCTGGCGGATCAGAATCAGTTAAGATTCAAATAATTACTTCTGCTTCATTGAAGAAATTATTAATGCCTCATTTGAATTTTTTTTTTTTTTTTTTTAGTTGAAATAGATATGCAACCTAAGTATTGAAGTAATTTCACATTGTTTAGTTAATAATAGATTGTAGGATCTTCATAGTCAAGTAGATTTCACGTGTCTAGTTTACATTTAATAGACCTACTTAGATCTTTATATCGTACTGTTTGTTTGTTTGTTTGAAAGTTCCTGTTGTTCGTCCATTTCTAGACCCTGGCTTTTGTCTTCTTTTTCAAGGACCTGAGTGTTGTGTGCACCCGTTTTACAAATCTGGTTAATTGTATGCAGACTATTAGTTCCTTGTACGAAGGAAATCCCCTAATTATTCAACTCTTATGGCGTGCTTGTTAGGGTGGCAGTATATCTTCGACCTATGGATTCAGCCTGTTTAGCAGTACCACCGCCATTTCCTTGTGCCTTTTAATTATGTTAGAAATTGTATGCACTGGACCACAAGGGCTTGGGGAAAGATTGAATAACAATCACAGCATGACATGTGTCAGCACTAATCTTTTATTTAACTATTTTTTTATTGTGATTTGTCCCCAGCTATTTGGCCTACCGCAACTTTATGATTGATACCTACCGCTTGAATCCGACAGAGTACTTGACTTCTACGGCAGTTCGCAGGAATCTGGCTGGTGATGTCTGCTGTATTACCAGGTAACATTGTCTCCTGTGTGCATTGTCTTCTAAGTTGTATCTCCTATGCACAGACTGTCTACTGTATCAGGGGGTATTGTCTGCTGTATTACAAGGTAATATTGTCCTCTGTGTGCACTGTTTTTGGGCTGAAATGCTATAGAAAGATTCTCAGAATATCTTGGACAAAGAAGAGGAGAAATATTGACATCTTAAAAGATCTGAACATCAAGGAAGATTGGCTAATAAACAGAATCCTGTCTCGGAAGCTGAAATATTTTGGTCATATCACGAATTGGAAAAAATTATAGCAGAAGGTATGGCACCAGGAAGGAGGGGCAGGGGCCGACCGACACGAAGATGGTCACAGGATATAAGTGATTCCTTGAGTATGAAAGTACATGAGGCGGGAGAACTGGTGAGAGACCGAGTTTCTTTCAAGCAGACTGTGATGAGAGCGACATTCTGCAAAGGACCTGCTACATGATGATGATGTGTGCACTGTTTGTCTGCTGTATCAGGAGGTATATGCTGCATTACCAGTTAACATTGTCTCCTGTGTGCAGTTTGTCTGCTGTATCAGGAGGTATATGCTGTATTACCAGTTAACATTGTCTCCTGTGTGCACTGTTTGTCTGCTGTATCAGGAGGTATATGCTGTATTACCAGTTAACATTGTTTCCTGTGTGCACTGTTTGTCTGCTGTATCAGGAAGACCCATGACCTCCACTAATCGCTGCTGATCAGTTTCTACCCGAATGTTAATTGGTCAGACCTGTGATTTATGTCACAACAAATTAGATAGATAGATGTGACTGGTCTTTTTAGGAGAGGAATAGACTTAAAGCCACCACTTCGTAACTCAGGTAGGCCAGAACTGCTTAAATAGCTCGATTATATTTATCTAAGGGTTGTCCCAGGATACTATTAAATGAGTAATCAGCAAGTCCTGATGTTGGAACTAGATGGTAGGTGTGACCCATTGCTATAGAAAATGTGGACACCTGGGAAATATCTAACTAATTTCTTGTGACAATCTCCCTAATGTGTGTAGAGGGTATGTCTGCAGTAGATAAAACAGACATTGAGGGGGACACACAAGACAACATAAACGTTGAAAACTAGTCACCATACTGACATTCAAACAAGTAACTTCCAAATAATGACTGCTTCACTGCAAGAACATAGGTACAAGGCCAGCTAAACACCTAAAACCAAACTAAAACCCAAAAAAGTATTCAAATTGTTTGTCACATTATTTTAGCAGCATCTTGTGTTCCCCGGCAGTTGCCTAATTCCTGCTTTGTCTTTCTAACAGAGTCCATGCATTTTTGGAACAGTGGGGTCTGATCAACTACCAGGTGGATACAGACAGTTTTCCAACTCCAATGGGGCCACCCTCAACATCCCACTTCCACATTCTGGCTGACACACCCTCTGGCATTGCAACGATCAATCCTCCAAAGATTAACCAGGTACTGTCTTAAATGTACTCAGTTTTCTTGGTTCTTTGATTCTGTTATCTAAAAGAGTTTCAGTTTTATAGGAATCACTTAGCACTCTTGACATTGTGGCCCCCCAATGTACCTACTTTGGCATCACAGTCCATTACTGATCCCTGAGGAGCTGCTAAACCAGCATTGCTGTATAGGTCATTACCCCACAAGCCTTGGTAATGACGTTGGTTCTGTTTGTGCTTGCAGTTCTTAGCAGCTCTGGGTATCATTATATTTACATTTTTTTTAAAATCATTTTTGAAAGGACGAGTTTTGGAGCCCATCCCAGAGAATATATAAATATGGATCTCTGTAACCTAGCAAGAAACAGCTGTGATGTAGCTTTCCAACTTGTTTATCAGTTTCACTAATGCTGTATCCAAATGTCTCATGTAGCCATCAGCAGCTCAGGATATTTGTGAGCTGAGTGAGAAGAAGGACAAGGAGAAAGAGGTGGAAGACAAGACAGATTTTGGAACCCTGGGCCTGAAGGCAGACATCTATACTAAGAAAGCTATAAAAGTGAGTCATTATTTTGTGCTGATTACAAATTGCTCTCTGTCTATGCTGTTTATAAATTGTCTGTATTGAGGCATATATAGGTGAAATCTAGTTTGTTTGTGTGGCGTCCATGGGCCATACAGCCTCAATTCTTTCTGTCCCAAACAACACACCATGCGTGATTGGGTATTATTCGCCACTAACATATTAGGTCCGTTTTTACATACTATGTTTAGTGAGGGACTCTAAAAAAACTCTGGCAACATGTTTCCTGCTAGGGTTTTATGTTGGCCCCTCTGGAAATAGTATACCCATGAGTTAAGTATTGCCATTCATAAATCAACTCATTCTACACTGCAGCTGGATGAAAGTGATCCATTACTTTGGATTGATTATAAATTGTTCTGAGATATCTGTGATAGGGACTATTTTCTGCTGTTTGTGAATCACTCTATACAGACTACCATACAAAATATACTTCCTTTGCATTGATTATGAAATCTGCCGAAAACTTTAGGCAGTTTTTTTTTTTCCCAACACTTTCAGTTCCAGATAGTACTAAAGTTAACTGTCTATGATAAAGTTTTAGTTTTCTAGAGCATTTTGTCTCATAGAGCTGAAGAATACAGCTTTGGAACAGATGTTGTTATAACAACTGAACTATAAACGGTTAGCTTAACAGAAGAATGGGATGGGAACAGTGAAGAAATGTGCACCATATAAAGAGTAACCAGTGAATATAAGGTGAGTTCCAATGTACAGAAAAAGTTAATTAATCTTTTTGAAAATAAAAGAATAAGAATATTCATAAAACCAGTGTATGTTGCTCTGGATCAGGAGAAGAACCTGGCCTTACGAAGCCGGGAGTGGACCGACCAGGAGACCCTGCTGCTTCTGGAGGCCCTGGAGCTGTACAAAGATGACTGGAACAAAGTCTGTGAGCACGTGGGCAGTCGGACCCAGGATGAGTGCATCCTACACTTTCTACGCTTACCCATTGAGGATCCTTATTTGGAGGAGAGTGGAAATCTGGGTAGGTCTCTGATGTTGTTTCTTTCTGCTGCTTCTGCCTCTTTAGTTTTGTTCTGCCTTTCAGCATCATGATATGAAGAGGCATCGGATGTGAGTCTTTAAGTTTGCTACATCTGTGCTGTATCCACAGCCTCTGATATTCATAACTTATGTTGCGCTTTATTTTCACTGAAATTTACTTTTTTTGTGTTCTTTCTTCCTGCTGTTTCTTCTTTTCTTTAGTTCTTTAATGTTCTTGTTTGTTTATGTTGTAAACAGTTTTGTTAATTAACAAAATTAGCATCTGACATATGTGTCCTCATTTCTTTGGTCATGATCTGGCCTGCTGATTTACTGACCCATGTGCCTATATTGGAATAGACTTGTGCCTAACATTGACTGCTGAAGAAGAAAACTGTCTTGCTGCCTCTTATATTTTCATGTTAGCACTCACCAGCTAAAAACTGGTGGAAAGTTCTGGTTGTTCTTCCATTTCTGGGCTTTGATCTTTATCCAGAACTTTGAGTTTTGTATGCACATCCATTTTATAGATCTGCATTTTGTGTGTGTGTGTGCAGACTGTTAGTTCCTTGCCTGTCAGATGCACTCTGACTTGGTAGGAAGCACCCCTGATTGGTCGCCTCCTGTAACATTGTAGGGAGTCACTCACAGGAGTGTATTATAGGCCACACATGGATGTGTATGAATGGACAGTGGGAGGTTGGAGTGAATGCTTATCATTCATGTCAAGCTTGCTGAGTAAGTGCTGAGCGGATATCCTGTATGCAGTGAGTGTAATAACGGTGTATCATTTTATGCATGTGTTATTTGAAATCATGCCCATAACAATGTCCTCATACGCATGTGTTATTTAAAATGAGGATTATACCCCTAACAATGTCCTGATACTCATGTGTCATTTGAAATAAGGATCATACCCCTAACAATGTCCTGATACTCATGTATCATTTGAAATGAGGATCATACCCCTAACAATGTCCTTAACAGACATGCATGTTGGAGGAATGGTCGGCCTGTCCTTTGTTCTCCAGAATGGATCTCCTGGACCTACAGGGGGATTCTAATATACAAATTGGCTTACTGAATTAAGCTGGCATCAAGGAAGCATACTGAGAATGGGCTACAAGTGTTGTGTTTACAGTGTTCTTGCTCTTGAAACTCTTTCAGTGAAACACAACAGGAGAGTGACACTTTGTACTTGCAACTCAGACGTGTTTGCACTCCTAGAAAGTTGAGAAACAAAAGAGCTTTGTGCTGCCATAAATAAACAACATCATCATTAATAATAAAAAAAGCTCTGTAATGAAACTGACTCACCATTATTTGTGTTCCAGGTCCACTTGCCTTCCAGCCGGTGCCGTTCTCAAAAAGTGGCAATCCTATCATGTCCACAGTTGCCTTCCTGGCATCTGTGGTGGACCCACGAGTAGCCGGTGCAGCAGCTAAAGCAGCTTTAGGTAAGATGTTGTTCTGGTAACAGGGAGATGTTTTAGTTCAGGGCGTTTCAACTGGCAGCCTAGCAAGTGGCCCGTGGGGCACCTGCCAGTTGTATTGTATTAATGATCTTTGCGGGGCTCGGTCCTTTAGTCCGTGACGATCCCTATTTTCCAATATTTTGGCCCCTAAGTAAACTTCATTGAATGGCCCTTTTAAGGTTGTAGGAAAAATCCTAACGCATATGGGGGTGTGTTTAGCATGTTGGAATTTAGACAGGCGTAGTTTGTTCCTGTGACAGCGGAGAGTTGTAGGTAGGTCTTGAAGCAGCTCCACAGCATTCAGGGCATTCATTCCCCTGTAATATACTTCTTCTTGTGATGACTCCCAACCTTAAAAGTATTTTCATTGCTACTTCATTGAATGTGTTTTGATGATCTTAGGCCACCCCTGTGAAAGGGTCAATTGACCCCCAAATGGGTAACGACCCATAGATTGAGAAAGCTGCCCGAGGTGCTCCATCCCCATCTTCAGTGCAGAGTTCACACAGTCAAAGTTTATGGGTGTCTGAAATAGAGGAATGAATGCCTGTTGCTGAGCTAGAAATCCAGAACGAATGAGGCAAACAGGAAGCTCAGCAAAGAGAAATACATATTTAGAGATGGTTTGATAGACCAGGTGTTTTAAGAACCAATATCACAGCATTTCGGACATTTCTGTAGATGCTTTGTCCCCATCTTTAGCAGCCAGAGAAGAGTTTCTGTTCTGATAGTACCAGTAATAGTCTAATTGTATGTCCATCTTACTTTTTCTGTCCGTATTCCATGCTTGTGGATTTTAGCTCTACTGTGTGATAGACATGGCTAATGAAGACACATTTGTTTGGGGGATGCTGACTTAGTCCTGTATTTTAGTACACTTGTTTCTCTCAACTTTTAGAGGTGTCAGGTTCAATTCCAATCATGGTAACTATAGTTTAAAATTTTTAGTTTCATGCGTGTCCTTCTACTTCTTTCAGTACATTGTCTGTTTAATATATGGTCAGTATTTTATTAATTATAATATATAGGAATATATTTATCATGTGTTGAGCATTTTAAGAATGTGTTAGAATATTTTGTAACATCTTTGTCATTTGTTAAGTATAAGAATATTTTGAAAACGAATCCACAGAGGAATTCTCAAAGATGAAAGATGAGGTGCCCCCTTTTGTTGTTGATGCTCACATTAAGAATGTTCTTAATGCCAGTAAGGATGGAAAGCCTGTTGACCCAACATTTGGCTTGGAGAAGAGCGGCATTGCTGGCACAGGTAATGTTGATGTTATCATTCCTGCAGAAGATTTAATTAGCTGTTTTATAACAGTATCTGTTGTGTGAATGCCTTCACCCTTAAGGCAATTATTTTAAGACATTTGATCATCGGAAGTGTAATAAAAACAGCCATTTCATTCTCTAGGTGCACAGTACTGGCTTTTTTTTTTTTTTAAGGCATAATTTGTCCTATCGCTGCTGTAATGAACATTTTGTGATGAGTACCGGCACTTTTTGAGACATCCTGTAATTAGTACTGTCACCTTTTTAGAAAAAAAAAACCTAACAAACAATAAATAAAACATAGTATTTTTTTTTTTTTTTTTGGATGATGTACATTCTGACTCAAGTTGTACAAAGGTTTAAATCTGAGAGGATCCGCTTCATTGCACCTGGTTTTACTCTCTCCATAGAATGGGTAGTCACTTGCAAAGAGTGTCACATGAAGCACAAACTGAACAGCACACTCCGTGAAGATACACCCCCCCCCCCCCCCCCTCCCTAACTATTTAATGAGGGTGTGATGACATGCCACAACAGTGATAAAATTCTGGCAATTACCAGATGAAACTTTCCTCTGTGTCAAATTCTACGGGTGTCAGCAAGGCGACACCATTCATGACACACAATGGAAAATATAGGCTGATTCCACGAGGAATATAAAACATTTCTGCAGTAAGTCTCTTTTGGTTCCTTTGTATCTAAGATTTCTAAATGTAATTGTATTTTGGTTTGAATTCTTCCCCCCCCCACACACACACACACACACACACACACACACACACACACACACACACAATTATTCAAATAGTTGTTTTGCTTTTAATTTCAGAAAATGCAGAGGATGAGCTGGGAGAAAATAAAAAAGAAGATAAGGATGCAGAGAAAGAACGCAAAAAGGTAGTCTTTGCTTTAGTAGTCCAGAAGGACGTCTGCACATTACATTATAATATTAGTTTAATAGCAAATTTAACCTCACAGTGTGCAGTAACAAAAAGCAGACATCTCAGTGGCTTTGGCATTAGCTTGTTGAACTCCGGCATTGAATATATGGGTTCTGATTATATTTAAAATTGGTTAAATCATTTGGTTGGCAAATGGTGGCCACTCAAAAAAAAAAAAAAAAAAAAAAAGGTCAGCCTGTACGAAATTTTGTGTATAGATTTCAGTGAGAGAAATGGTTGGTGCTGTTCAGAGGTGTTGGAAAGCATGCATGACTGACTGATTGTTGCTCCTTTATTCACAACAGGATGAAGAATCCATGGAAACTAACGCTAGTAAGGAGAAAGAAGGAAAGGTGGAGGAGAAAGATGGTGAGGAAGAGAAGGAGCAACAAAAGGTAGATGAAAAACAGGTGATATGTAAAACATTTTTTCCCCCGTTAATTTTGACTACCTTTATCTCTGTAAATGTTTCCTACATCTCTCCTTGTCTTTATCTCTGAATATGTTTTCTGTATCTCTGTGTACCTCTCTTTCCCTATCCTTGAGTTTGTATTGTATATCCTTTGCATACCTATTTTTTTTATCTCTGAAAATTTATTTTAAACATTTTTGCTTGCATCCTTTTCCAGCTCCCTTGCCATTTTATCTCTAAGAGTAGTAGATGGCATCATTACTTTCCCACCATAAAAATATCCAGTACTGATTTTATTGATCTCATAGCCACACTGGTAAGGTAAAATTCATCCCATGCACTTCACTGCTAACTTCAGACAGTATATAAAGTAAAGGTGTACTTGGCATAAATAAGTTTAGAAGTTATAAACTTCTGTCCAAGTATAAGGCTAAGGGATTTTTATGTGCAAAAAAAAAAAAGTCATTGATTCCTCATATCACACATTCTGATCTCTTTGGTTGTGAGATTGAGTACTTACCCAGTACTCCAGGAGGAAAGTACAGGACATGTTGTGTGCAGATTGCTCAGTGTTGAAGAAGCAGAGCTACTCAGAAATCGGTAGACTAAGTTTGCTGCCAAATTAATTATGGCTAGAGATTTGACACTACAGCATTTGTACAAGCCCCTGTTAGCTCCATCTGCCTTCTTGACAGCTAGGAAAGTGTCTGCTGCTACCTTTTTGTCATCTGCTTAAGTACTCATCTTGCAATCTCCTTCCGAGTCTCTTATGGCGCCCAGAGCCAGCAGACAGTCCCCACTGTATCATTCTCTCCAGGTTTAGGTTTTCAGTACCTTCCATTTTACTTGCTACACAGTCCCACAGGGAAGAGATCACCTGTACCTTGTACATTTGCAGTAGCCCCTCCTACCCCCGCCAGTCCAGCTAACATATCTGCCTGCTCGTTCCCAAATACACCTGCATAGCCTGGGGAAAATATCTGTCTGTCTCCCACTACCTGCTGCCTCTGGATTGGTGCGACAATATAATTGTAAATAAGTAAAGTAAAAGACCCTTTTCCACGCATTTCAGGCGTAGTGGGTATATAGGGCTAGACCTATATTTTATAGACCGAATAGCAGTTGGTGGGTGATGTGGTCAGCATCACGCCGGCCACCTTTACTTCCCAGGACTGTACCTGGTACACACTCAAGACTGGGTTGACCTGGGAGCCAAAGTCATTTTTGAAAAAAGTCTGGCCCCTGTCAGGAACTGAACCCACGACCTTCTGATCTGCAGGCGAGCATCTAACCACTAGACCACGGTAGCTCCTGACAAAATAATTGGGGAGGAAAAAATATCATCTGCAGATAATAAGAGCCCATTGCCTTTTATTAAATAAAGCGCAACACTTGGACAGATGTATTTGAAATCCCAGTTAAGCGCTCTAATCTCCGAGTAATACAGATGCACACCTTGGTGGCAGACAGTGTCATTAAAGAGACATTAACATTTTTCTGTGTTGTACTCTATATCTCTTTCTTACTGATATAGTAACCACAGTTTGAAACAGTGACATAGCGATGTGAAGATGCTGTTCACTTTGGGATTACTATGTTCTGATTGTAAATTGTCATTGTGTCTGTTTAACCAGGACAATGGGAGGACTGATGCACCAGCCACCAGAAGTGATTCGGAGATTGAAACTGAGAAGACGTCAACAGAGGCCGTAGCTAGTAAAGATGATGAAAAAGAGCAGGAAGAGAAAGAAGATGACAATGCTAAAGATAAAGCCAAAGAGGATGATCCAGTTTCTGCTGTGTCTACCGCGGCTGCTGCTGCTCTTGCTGCTGCAGCAGTCAAAGCTAAGGTACTGTTTCCTGTCACAGGAATTACTGTTTTTAATTGTATCTTCTTCTTTTTTTTTTTCCACCATTTACCTCAGCGAGGTGTTGGGGTTGGGGTGGGGGGGGGGGGGGGAAGAGATGCAGGGATCATTTGTACAAGTTGGTGTTCATTTCTGTTAGATTGCTCCTGATGATGTCACTCCATCTCTTGGATGGTCTTCCCCTTGCTCTGTGTTCATTATATTTCTTCAGCGTGGCAGTTGGTGTCAGGTGGCCATGGCCAAACCATCTCATTTGTTGTTATTTAATGAATTGTATGGCTGGTTTCAATCCTAGTCTTCTAATTTCTTCATTTGTGATTTTGTCTCTTGTCACACAGGCAGCTCTCTTAAGACATCTTATCTGTTTTTTTACGATCTTCTGCTCGTAAGTTGTAGTAAGAGTCCATGTTTGGCACTGGTAGCACAATGCTGCCCCCCCCCCCCCCCCCCCCCCCCTTCCCAAAAACACTTTGAGATTTGCTTTGGTTGACATAGGTATCTTTCTATATGTCAGAAACTATGTTAATTGTCCCATAACCTGATTTGCTTTCGCACATCGTATGTTGATTTCTCTATCCATTCTTCCATCTGGGGTGTAAAAAAATGACCCTAGATATTTAAATTTGCTTATTTGTTGTATTATTGTGTTATTTACTTTAATTGATTTGGTTATATTTCTCACACATAGTATTGACTTGGTTTGTATGGTTCTTTAAACTCTCTTCTGTTTCAGCTATTAATACTTGGTCATCTGCAAATAACAATTCTGAGATATCTATTTCTTCGCTCTCTGCTTCTTTTCATATATTGTTGATGTATGTTATAAAAAGCAGGGGAAATAGCACACATCCCTGTTTTACTCCTGAATTTACCTGAAAAGATTGCGATGTACCTGCTTTTGTTCATATGTAACTTTTACTTGATGTATATAATCTCTTACACACTTCAGTTAGATGTTTGCTGATTCCATATATTCTTAAGCAGTTCCACAACAAATGCTTTTTCCTAGTCTTTGAATGTGACTTTGCATGTCTTATCATTCTCTTTTGCTCTTTGTGTCAACTGTCTTAATGTAATTATTGCATCTGTGCGGCTTCTGTTATGCCTGAAACCCATCTGGGCTTCTGAAAATTGTACTACTAATGTCTTTTATCTTCTTTCAATTAATTTGGCATACATTTCCCTGTGTGGCTCAATGGTGATATTCCTCTGTAATTATTGCACTCTTTCTTACTCCCCTTTTTTCCACATTGGTATAATTATTGCTATTTGCCAGTCGTCTGGTGTTTCTTGTTCTAGCCAGGCAGTCTGGGAAATTGTATGCTACAGTAAAATCTCTGCTAACACAAATTTCAAGGGACTAAACGTCATTCATATTTGAAACAATTCCTGTTAACTGGAGGCCAATGAAGATAATTACCCCTGCTGGGCCCAACATTTTCTGGGTTATCTGAGTGTTTATCCTAACCTTGTCGTCCCGTACATGCAGATATCTAGGCTTGTCTGGTTTCTTTTTATGACATAGTGTTTTTGAACCGCTGTCACTATAACTGTAAAGGTAGAGGTGAGAGGATCGACTTCATTAAACCAGGTTTTATCCCATATGGCTCAGTCTTTCTCAGCAGAACAGCTAGCTGCCTGCCGAGAACGTTGCCCAGAGCACGACCTTCCTAGTCCAGCAACGATTCCCCAGGGATCTGTGCAAAAATTGCGCTTGTGAACTGAATGGCACTGCAGTGAAATTATCCCACAACCTTCAGAGCACGAGGCAAACGCTTGACCACTTGGCCATATGCACAGTTTGTGACGACCTGTGCCTGTATACAAGTTTAGCTGCTGAGTGCAACTGCATAGGCTGTAGTGTAGACATGGTGGGTGTGATTATATAAACCCCTCCCCCCAGTGTTAGGTTTAGTAAAATCATTCACTGTCCTTTAAAGAATGAAATTTTTTGTTATTTGAAGCCCCACCCTGGCTATTGCCGGGGGCCGCAAAATAGCCAGGCCATAAATATGGCCTAATACCTCTCCACGGTGATCCTCATCTACATGGTGGCACTTTGTGTTTATCGCTTGTGTGATGCCCTGGTGGGGTAGAAAGTCAGTCAGTCAGTTTTAGGTTTAATAAATTTATTCCTATCTTCAGCTTCAAAATGCTGTGCAGGCTTGAAAATAACAAATGACATTAACTGGGTGTCTTGTGAATGTGTCCAATCTACCGCAGTCAAAACCCACTGCTGGCTGCGTGGATTTTTATCATGGTATGGGGCGTCGCAGGTCGACCTAGCCTAAAACGGGTACCAGGATGTATGTCTTGGGGAAGTAAAGACAGCGGGCGTAATGCTGACCACATTACCTATCTGGTGCTGATTGGTCTGTAAGAATATGGGTGCTCTTCCCATATGCCTGATGCGCCTACAGGCATGAAAAGGGAAATATGTGACTAGAAATGCAATTAAGCTGCACACCTGTGGATTTAAAACCTACCAGAAGTGCGAGGACAAAAGGGTTAACGTATTAGGAGATCTTAGACTGTGTTATTGTTCAGGTACCTTTATTTCCCAGCATCTGGCATCTGTGGAGGAGAGGAAGATCAAAGGACTGGTAGCCCTGCTGGTGGAGACACAGATGAAGAAGCTGGAGATAAAACTGAGACACTTTGAAGAGCTGGAAGCAATCATGGATAAGGAAAGGGAATCAGTAAGTATTTCCTGAGATTTGTTTAAGTTTTGTCCCCAGATTTTCTACCTTGACTTGTTATCCTCTTACTTACTTTTGCTTGATTTCAAGAGGGGAAGGAAATTTCTGCAACAGTCTCCATGGAGATAATGTTTTGAATCCAGTTGGGGAGTAGTCTCTAAACCAGTCTCGCTACAATAAGTGCAACTCCTCTTTTTAGGGCTTAGATCTGATTACCAGTGCATTGGACTCAACTCTGCGGCCTTGAGAAAGCAATTTATGACAGCTTTGGTACTGGTTGCAACTGCTTATTGTGTAGATGTGGGTATGATTTTGTTTACCCACCACACACAAAGAAAGATATTATTTAGGGTTTTAAGTTTGCATTTTTTGGTCATAGTAATCTCATTTGACTTCACTTCATTCCATATAGCTAAGTGAGCAGATTTAGGCTACCGGTTACTTCTTTGCTGTGTTTGTATTTAGAAATAAATTCCCTTACTGAAAAAAATGACATTCACCTGGTATAAGAAAACTACTCTATGAACTCAGCAACCGTTGTAAGGTAGCTATGCAGTGGATACTATCCCACTGGAGTTCCTGGAAATAAAAGAACTAATAAACAAGCTTAGAAATGTGCAAATAAAAAGACAGCCTGACGTACCAGCCTCTTATCAACAGAAGAAGAGAATAATCAAATCAATCAGAAAGCCACAAAAACCAGCAAAAGAAGATTACCTTATAATGGACAGACTAGAGCAAGTCATTTTTCTGCACCTTAGAACCGGACATAATTGACTTTTCAGCCACATGTACACAAAATTTAAGATTGTTGAATCAGCCATTTGCACATATGGACTGGCACCTGAGACAACAGATCGTGTCCTCCAAGACTGTCCTAAATACAACATATGAAGGCAAAACTTGTGGCCAAGAGAAACACCCGTGCAAGCCTAACTTTACAGGTAGCTGTGTGCACTACAACAGACATTGGAAGTTCATACTAGAGACAACACTGCAGATATAGATAACTCTATTTCAAGCGAACGAAAGAAGAAGAAGAATGTCATTTTTAAAGATTCTTGTGGGGTAATATGGCTAAAGGATAAATTCGCTCTCCGTGAGTATTAGTCAAATCAAAATAGCCAGCATCTAGACAGCAGGACCTAGACTGGGCACATTTTCCAGACTTATTCCCAGGTTGTTTCATAGATTTCCTAAGATTATCACATTGACTTTTCACCAGTCATTTCTGCTTATTGTGTTCCTTCTGTAGAGTATCTGAATATAATGTGTTACTTCTAAAGATAGTGTACCTGAATATCATGTGTTTCTTCTGTAGAGTGCCTGAATGTCAAATGTTCCTTATGTAGATAGAGTACCTGAATGTCATGTGTTCCTTCTGTAAAGTGCCTGAATGTCGTGTGTTCCTTCTGTAAAGTACCTAAATGTCATGTGTTATTTCTGTAGAGTACCTGAAGTCATGTGTTCCTTCTGTAGATAGTGTGCCTAAATATCATGTGTTCCTTCCGTAGATAGAGTACCTGAATGTCATGTGTTCCTTCCGTAGATAGTCCCTGAATGTCATGTGTTCCTTCTGTAGAGTACCTAAATTTCATATGTTATTTCTGTAGATAGAGTACCTGTCGTGTGTTCCTTCTGTAGAGTACCTGAATGTCATGTGTTCCTTCTGTAGATAGAGTACCTAAATGTCGTGTTCCTTCCGAAAAATACCTGAATGTCATGTGTTCCATCTGTAGAGTATCTGAATATCATATGTTCCTTCTATAGAAAACCTGAATGTCACGTGTTCTTTCTGTAGATAGAGTACCTGAATGTCATGTGTTCTTTCTGTAGATAGAGCACCTGAATGTCATGTGTTCCTTCTGTAGTAGAGTGCCTGTATGTCGTGTGTTCCTTTTGTAGAGTGCCTGAATTTTGTGTGTTCCTTCTGTAGAGTACCTGAATGTCATGTGTTGCTTCTGTAAATAGAGTACCTGAAGTCATGTGTTCCTTCTGTAGATAGTGTGCCTGAATGTCGTGTGTTCCTTCTGTAGATAGTTTGCCTGAATGTCGTGTGATCCTTCTGAAGAGTACCTGAATGTCATGTTTCCCTTCTGTAGATAAGAGTACCTGAATGTCATGTGTTCCTTCTTTAGATACAGTACTTGAATTTCATGTTGTCTTTCTATGGATAGAGTAATTGAATGTCATGTGTTCCTTCTATAGAGTACCTGAATATCATGTGTTCCTTCTATAGATAGAGTACCAGCGGCAGCAGTTGCTACAGGAAAGACAGCAGTTCCACATGGAGCAGATCCGTGCTGCAGAATACAGAGCCCGACAGTTTGCTAGCCAACAGCTAGCAGAAAACAAGACAGTGTCATCTCAGCACAATGAAGGTGGACCTCAGGTATCAACGTCAGCAAGTGGCTCAGCTACTGCTCAGAATCCATCCCTTGCAGCGGCAGTACAGAGTACAAACTATGCCATGCATGGCTCTCCCTTACCACCTCAGGGACCGCAGGTAAATGTTGAATGCAGGAAGATTGTCAAATATATTTCTGATGGCATTAAATGTTGAAATTTGTTTTTTTATTTTTGTCGTTTCTCCTTACTTACTTTTTTTTACAGCTTCAGATTCTAAGTATAAAACTATTTCTTCTTTTTCGTGTTCAATGGTTGTAACTCTGGAAAGTCCTGGTTGCTCATCCATTTCTTGACTTTCCAGGACTGATTTCCATTTTACAGATCTGGCTTATTTGGGCGTTTCATTCAGCATCTGTGGCTTAGGCGTTGCAAACGCGCTTCGTAATGCCCGGTTCGATCCCAGCTACAGACGATTTGTCTTGCGTTTGTTTTGACAATGGTACCGAGAGCTGACCGTTCAGGGAGCAATGGCAAATTACTGAATGTAAAATTTGCCTAGAAAAACCACGACAGCCAAAGAATTCTGGGATTGATTTCGCAACGTCCTGTAAAGGATACGCAACAAACTTAACCGATCATTCCTAGCCTTTCAGGCAGATACATTCCAACACTTAAAAGGGAACCTCGATCCTGTCTTTGTTAGCCAGGCCTCTGGCTGGGAACCTGTTTCTGAGGTGACCGCGGAGAGGTGTAGGCAGGTCTGGACCAGTATTTAGCCATGGTCTTGGTGCAGCACCACTTGTGGTTCAGCACTTCTGCCTCCCTAGGAAGATAACCAGATTTTGGTTCCTGTTCTTCTGGCTGCTTTGAGCATAGACACTTGATGCTTATCCTTCAGAGTTGTTCTTATTCTATATACCTCTAGCTCCACGCCACACTCCTTTTGTTTTTCATTATTGTATAAACCTTTTATAGTAGGCAGCAAAAGGCATTCCGAGTGAGAAAACCATTTGAATCAAAAATTTTAATAATTTGTATTTTTATATATAGATAAGATGACTGATTAATAAACACAGAATGCCTGCTTAATCGTTTTATGCTTGTGGAGCCTATGAGGAAGAGATTAGAGATAGTAGAGCCTGTGGATCAGTCCAGAGTCCTTTGAGGATAATCCTCACTAATCACTATGTCATCCTCATCAAGCTCTGCTGACTGGTGTGAGCGATTGCGCCTCTCCACGATATGCAATCTTCAACTGTTCATGTGCTGGCACCCCTCCATCTCAAGGCAAAAGGCTGTCAGGAATCTTCTTGCTTTGTTGTCCTCTGTCTATCCACAGATCTTTCCTGTGGTCTTAGCATGTTCCAGTTTCCTTCTCATAACATGACCAGAAAATTATGACTGTCTCTAATGTTTGTGATAAGTTCTCATCGAGCCCTTGCCTCTTTCAGAACATCTGAGTTGCTCTCAGTTGTTTATGCTGTCACTAAATAAATCTTTAGAACTCTTTTCAGTCTCACACAGCACATGGTTTGTATGATCAGCTCTTCGTCATGAATACCAGCAATCACATCATATCTGTATGTGCCCACATTTGTGTGGGGGGGTCGGTTAAAAAAAAAAAAAGCATTTGACAGAACAAGACTAAACTCAGAGATTTTAACAGTTAAGTTATAGAAGCATTTCACTATGCTAACCTGTCAGTATTTACTTTTTGAACACCCTGTATGTTTTACTATATTTTAATGTGTTTCAATTCTTTCAAATTTTTTTGCAGGTTCAAGTGACACAAGGTTCCCCAACCCACACAGCACCATCCTCCACATCTGTTACACATCAGCCAGCACCGTCCTCAGCTGTGCCAACGTTACCACCAGCTGCATCATTGCCACCATCCACTGCAGCATCATCATTGTCATCTGTTGCATCTTCAGCAGCTCCTGCACCCAGCACATCACCTGCACTGCCTGCCCCAAACACAGCACTGACCCAGGCCCTTCAGTCATCCTCTCCACTCTCTCAAACTCCCCCACCCACACTGACCCCAAGCGGGACCCCCACGCCACAGCAACAGCAGCAGCAGCTGATGCCTTCTGCAACTCAGCAACAGCATATGCTACACCCTCTTCAGCAACAGCAGCAGGCATCTCTTGGCCAGGGTTACCCTGTTAATAACCAGTACCCAAGTCAGCAGCAAGGACCCACCCCGCCACCCCAAGAAGCGCTTTACCACAATTCTCAGATTCCTCAAGGCGGACCCCAGTACCCACCATTTGCCCCCCAAACATACCACCATCCATTGGGCATAAATCAGGGAGTCCCACCCATGCAGCAGCCATACCCTCAGCAACAGACCGGCCACTACCAAGGCTATATGAGCCAGCCAAATCAGTATCCTACTCATCCGGGATCTCACCAGGGTCAGTTTGGGCCTCCTCCACACATGGGCATGGCCCAGCAGGGCTACTCGCCCTATCCTGGACCCCCAGCACCCCACTACTCTAGCCAGCCAATGCAGCAGTATCCAGGGGCTTATCCGCAAGGGGCTGTCCAGCCCCCACAAGGTACCCCACTGCCAGCAGTCCAGAGGCCCCCCATGTCAGTAGGAACTCCAGCAAGTGAGTAGCAGAAGAAACTGGGTGATCGTTTTTATTCGTTTATCTTCATTGCTTTATGAACCATGATGGCATAGTGGCTAGATGCTGCACACAAAAAGCAAATAAAACTGGTGTGCACACAAAACTCAGGCCCCCCACACAAAGCCAGAGTCAAAATAGATGAACAGCCAGGACTTTCGGCTGGAGCTTACAGCCGGTAGACAAAGAAGAAGGTGACCACATCGCACACCGAGAACCGATTGGTCTATAAAAAATATGGCTCTGTCGCCATATGTCAAATGCAGCACCGTTGGCATGAAAAGGCCTTGACCTTCTGTTTACTACAGCATAACCTCGTTAACATGATCAAAAAATCAAGAATTCATGTTTTTAAAAAACGAAATGTTCTAAATGGGGACAAAGAGATGTATACATCTCTGTAGGGAGCATTTTTGTTTGTGTGAGCTGAGTGTTCATCGTAAGCAAGTTTGTGTGAAAAGGGTTTGACTGTAATTGCTTTAACAAGGGTTTGATTATCTTCTTTTTTGGTCCAAGTGATATTTTGGCTTCTTGGTCCAGGGGATTGATTGGCTCCTTGGTCCAGGGGATTGATTGGCTCCTTGGTCCAGGGGATTGATTGGCTTCTTGGTCTAGGGGATTGATTGGCTTCTTGGTCCAGGGGATTGATTGGCTTCTTGGTCCAGGGGATTGATTGGCTTCTTGGTCCAGGGGATTGATTGGCTTCTTGGTCAAGGGGATTGATTGGCTCCTTGGTCCAGGGGATTGATTGGCTTCTTGGTCTAGGGGATTGATTGGCTACTTTGTCCAGGGGATTGATTGGCTTCTTGGTCTAGGGAATTGATTGGCTTCTTGGTCCAGGGATTGATTGGCTTCTTGGTCTAGAGGATTGATTGGCTTCTCTGTCCAGGGGATTGATTGGCTTCTCTGTCCAGGGGATTGATTGGCTTCTTGGTCTAAGGAATTGATTGGCTTTTTGGTCTAGGGGATTGATTGGCTTCTCTGTCCAAGGGATTGATTGGCTTGTCCAGGGGATTGATTGGCTTCTTGGTCTAAGGAATTGATTGGCTTCTTGGTCCAGGGGATTGATTGGCTTCTCTGTCCAGGGGATTGATTGGCTTCTCTGTCCAGTGGATTGATTGGCTTCTCGGTGTAGGGAGTTGATTGGCTTCTTTGTCCAGGGGTTTGATTGACTTCTAGGTCAATCCTTCTTAGCCTTGTGTTCCTTTCCATCCTGGCCAGTTTAGGATTTTTCCATACATGGGGGGGGGGGAGTTAATGCTGCATTGTTAATTCTGTCACCATTAACTTTCGCAGTGTATTTTTGCCCCCCACAGGAAAATGCCATCGCCCCACAATTTGTTGCATACGGGTCTTCCTGATGGTTCAGTGGGAGCCTAGTGCTCTTAACCGCTCGGACTGACTGATTTTCTACCCCACCAGGACATCACACAAGCGATAAATACCCGATGACACAATGTGCCACCATGTGTGTGAGGATCACCATGGAGAGGTCCCAGAAACCGCGTTCAGCCTCTAGGCCATATTTATGGCCAGGCTATATCGCAGCCCCTGGCAAGAGCCAGAGTAGGGCTTCAAATAACGAAAAATGTCATCCTAATGACGGTAGATAGCATAATGTTTAACCGCTCGGACAAGCGCTCCAATACTTATAGCTTTGGTTAAAAAAACACAACATTGATTTATCAGCCTAGATTGCTGACTAATGTAAATAAATACAGGTTGCATCCCAGTCTTAATAGTGCTTTTGACAGAGCCCATCAACGAACATTACATCTCCCCCCGACACTTCGATGAGGTACAAGGTGGAGAAGAAGAAGAAGCATTCCATTATTTTTTTTTAAATGATTTTTTTAAAATTATTATTGTATATATCTGTGTGTGGGTATATATTTATTTATTTAACCCCTGTTGTGGTGTTATTCTTTTCAGACACACACCCAGAATCACAAGAACAGATGATGATGTCCCCTTCATCGACCGGCTCCAACAAATAGACAAACTGCCTCATAAATATCCTATCTGTTTCCATGTTTCTCACTGCCGGAGAGTTCTCTTCTTGAACACTGTGGTGTGATGTCAGTAATGATGAAACCATATTCTCTAATATAAATTTGATTGTTATATTTTCCTTGTTATTATATTTTCCTTGTTATTTAGATACCTATTGGCACAGGCAATCAGGCTTCTCCACAGCTTTCATTGTTGCATGTTGTTAACATGTTTCTACTTGTCGAGCAGACAGCAGGGGTTGATAGCCTCTGAGAGGGTTGACTGTTCATCTACTTCTGTGGTGTGGTCTTGTTCCGGGATGTGAGTTTTGCATGCGCAATTTTTTTTAAATACAGATTTGGCTTATTTATATGCATACTGTTGGTTCCTTACCTTTCAGGCAAATGCAGCCTTGACTTCAAAGGAAACGCCTCTGTTTGTTGCCTTAAACGGTTTGTTGGGGGGGGGGGGGGGGAGCAGTTGGTTCTTCCCCACTTCTTCCTCCCACTCTGGGAGACCAGGACAAAATACATGTATAGTTACTATAAAATACAGAAAGTACATTGAGTGTCATTCATGGAAATGAATGAATAATACAGTAGTTTTGTACACTGTTTTTTAGATCCCCCAGTAACTCCCCACAATAACCCTTCAATGTAAGGTGTTGAAATGTTGGCATACAGCCTGTTAATAATCATGTCCTTTTGGAAAAAAAAAATGTTCTGTCAACAAACATCTAGTTTTCATTTCACCTTTTTTTTTTTTTGGTGTATGAAAAAACCCAAAGATTCTGGGCAAACAGTCAGCATTTTAAACGTTATTTGAGTAAGGGGAACGTTTTAAACATCAGGGGAGTGAACAAATTAGTCAAACCAAGATTAAGAAATTTACCACTTTAAAAAAATGACAGCACCTGTGCAATTGCAATTTACAAAATCATAAGGACATGGCAAAAATTTGTGTTAATCCGCACCTGAGTTTTGGAGATATTAGTTAAAAGTGTAAGATGCTTGAGTTTAGAAACTTTCTTTAGATATGAATCAAGGCATGATGCCTTCCTTGGCAGTAGAAGCGTTTAGAGCTCCAGCTGTCCATGTTAAACCCTGTTGTCATGCAGAATTAGAGCGGCTGTAAGGTTGATCAGTCACTGTATTTTTGTGTACACTCAAGTGTCCCACTTTCACCTGTTGCCTTTGTCTAATTTTGTTGTAAACTGTTTTGAGTCATTTATATTGTGCACAACTTCACATATTGCCACTAACAAAAGCTGGTTGAATGGAAGAAATCTGGACTGAATGTGACTATTGTGGGATGAGTTTGTTGTGTATACCATGTGTGTCTGTATTTGTTATTTAATGTTTCTGTGTAAGCAAATACATCAGCAGTGACTTGTCTTTTACCTGACCTGTGAAGCAGAGAGAACTTCAGTGGCTAGCATACTTGATCTCTAACCTGGTGGTTGTGTGTTCAGATCCTCTCATTGAGGTTGGGATTATTTGTTGATTTGACCTGGTTTTCTAGGTCACCATAGCCTAAGATTAGTATTAGAGAAATGTCCTGGGTATTAAAAGTGGCAGACATTGTTCACATTCATAGACAGAAAGGTGCAGGTATTGCAGATATGCAACACCCTCCAAAGGGCAAACGCAAAGGAAGAAGGAACATATAGGCCCTGTTACCCACTGAGTTTGATTGGTCTGCCGGTACATCTACTGAGTATGTCTCAAGGGGTGCTAGAGGCTCTTGACTGTTTAGCAAAAGGGTTAGCATTGGCCACAATGTGCATCAGCGTGGGCTAGAGGCCCGTGCAGGCCAGATATGGCCCGCGAGCCACCAGTTGAATATCCCTGGTTTAGGTTGTGGTTAGTTGGGCAGTCAGTGGTTTAGGCTTCATAATACCAAGGTGCAGGTTTCCATCCCAACCGTTTGGCAGCAGACTGCATTGCATTGGTTTTTGTTTTTGGCAGTGGTATTGAAAGTCAGTCAGTCTTTCAGAAGCACTGGTAAACTACAGACTAAAATTTCTTTGTGAAATCAAAGTCAAAAATTGCTGGGATTGGTTCTGCGACGTCCAGGGAAAGGCATGCAACGACAATGACCATACTATAAACAGTAGTTGATGCTGTTTCTTCTGCGTTTGACCTGCAGATGTGGGGGATTAGGCTAGATGGACAGCCACAGATTTTGGTTTTACACTGAAACCCATTTGTTTCTACTACTGAGATTGCATTGATTTTGTATTTTGTGTAATGGCAGTTGTCAAAATTAAGGTTTGGTGGCAGATTTATAGCAGTGTAGACTTCAGCCTTACAATAAAATGTATTTATTTCACTAGTGTTGTTTTGGGTTTTTGAATTATTTCTGCTTGTTTCTTGCTTTTAAAACAGTATCTAAGACAAAAACTACGTACATAGAGTTGAATGGGAGTAGACATCATGGGGAGGGGGTGGCATATACATGCAGACTATAAACACTTGGAAGCCACCAGCTGCAACTGAAATGTCTGTCACAGTTCTTCTTCTTCTTCGATCCTTCTGTCAGAAAACTTATATCAGGAGGCCGGTAGTCTTTATGAAAGCTATCGTGCAATCCATATCCTCTCGTGTACCATACAGTTTTGTCTTCAGTGTGGTTGGAACAGGCCAGATTGCGTCTCTGTTGTCAGCATACAGTCGACAGTGTTGGAGCACATGCTCAGCATTTTCGGGTACCACGCTGCAGGGACACGTCTCCGTATTTCCTACACCAAAAAATTTGAACATATGTTGACGAAATCTGTTGTGCCCTGTCCTTAGTCTGAATATAATACACTGTCTCTCTCTAGAGAGGCGATGAAGTGAGTCTTGGGGAGAAAATCTGGTGTGGGTATCCAGCCACCTTTCTTGGATAATAGCTTGTATTAGTGTTTTCATCTCTTGATGGGTTAAGTCGCTATTTGGTTGTACCATGTCACTGCCGCTTCTGGCCAATCTGTCCGCTATTTCATTGCCTTCCAGGCCACAGTGACCTGGAATCCACTGCAGTACAGATTGTTCTACTGAAGAGCCTAAGCAAATCAGCTGTTGCGTCAAGTCTACAAACTGAGTGTCTTTTGGGTCAACAATTGCTTGTAGAACTGACATAGCATCAGTCAGAAAGACCACTCTGCTATATTTGCTGTGCTGTTGTCCATTCAGGAAAGAACATGCCACTAGAAGTGCTTCTGCCTCTGCTCTATAATTGGAGGAATATGAACCTGTTGGTACAGCCTGGTTGATTTTTAAACCATTTGGGCATTCTATGTATATTCCTCCTCCTCCGTCTCTTACTGCTCTCTTGGCTGAACCATCTGTATACACTCGAATCCAACTCTGGTGTGGATAAAGTCTATTGATCTCTCCTTCTGTAGTTGATTTCATATTCTAGTGTTGGCCTCACATAGCCTGTATAGGTCCTCTTAAGGACATTGAGGTTTGCCCCCCAGTCTGTTCCAGCTAACTTCCTCATCAGTTGTGTTCTCTTGAGTCCCTTGCTCTGTGTCTTTTCTATCTGTTTTCTCCATGTGAGTCTTGGGTCAACGGTTAATATCTACAGTAAACCTCAAAGGGTCGGAATGCTCAAGAAGAATGTCTAAATACAGTGGAACTTAGAAAACAAGTGTATCTGGATAGGGGGTCAGGCTCGACAGTTTTGTCCAGCAATTTTGGTGGCGCTGATGTGAAAAGAAAACTGGTCGAGCGGTTACATCGTTGGGCTCCTACGTCTCAGGAAGGGGATGGGTTGTTGTTTGGAGGAGACGGCAAACATAAACATCATTGCCTTTAGAAAACGGTAAATTCATAGTAGTGACAGTTGACAGAATATGCGGTGAAGGCTGTCTTGGATCAAATGGACTGCAACAGAACAGAGAATTTATATCTAGAGAGACTGACTACTGGGGTGGTGAGTAAGCAGGGGACCTGGGTGATATTAAATGCACGGGAAAGGGAAGAAGAAAATGGGGGGGGGGGGGGCTTTTAATCAGGCTGCAGTTCACACTATCAGTGTATGAATACTTCATTGGCTACTATAGAAAGAATATAATTGAATGACAGAAAAAGAAAGGCCAAAAAGGTCACCAACACAAGAAGGGACAGTTACGAATACTAGCATTAAAGAGTAAGTTGGAATAAGACAGTGTCTGGATTATATTGAAGGTGAAAGATGAGATGGTTCGGTCACCTAATGAGTAGAAACACAGACCAAATTGCATAAATAGAATAGAAAGACAAATAATGATAAATGGTGTAGCAGAAACCTGCAAAAAGATAAACAAATCCATCATCAAGCCACCCGAGAAACGCAAGATGAATACAGAAAACCACAATACTGTGGTGTTTTTCAGACCTGGTATCAGTGAGACGACAAAATCAAAAGACTGGACTTCATTATAACATACCTCACGACACAGCTGTCCTTACTGTTTTTATTTATCACTTTTTAGGCCCTGTAGAGAAAGGGGGGGGGGGTGGTCATGAGCATGTGGATTAAGGGTCGCATGACTGGTGGTCGCCACAGACTGAAGGTAAGAAAGTTTAATTGTGCCTTCGACAGAAAATCCTCATCACCCTCCAGGATCCGAACCCGGGTATCCCAATTGGGAACCCGACGCACTAACGACTCAGCCAATCTAGCTCCCTTTAAAATGGGGGGGGGGTGGGGGGGGGGCAATAGTGGACTCCTATTTGTGCAATAGGCGAGTTCACAAAATGCTCTTTGGCTAAGTCGATGCGAACCTTCGTAATGCCGCGATACCGGGTTCGATCCCAGCAGCGGGCCACGCGCCTTGCTTTGGTTTCGACAGTGGTATCAAGAAAGCCGACCGCCCAGAAAGCAATGGCAAACTACTGGTCGTAAATTTGCCTAGAAAAACCACACAACAGCCAGGGGCTGTTAGGGTTGGTTCTGCAACGTCCTGTAAAGGATACGCAACTAACCTAACCACATGAAAAAACAGAGCCTTAACCGGGGCTAGAACCCGGAGCCT